CACTGAAGGTCTTGTAATTGAAAGGCCTCCATCTATTGGAATTCCTTTGCCAACAGAGAATATGGTGGGCAAGCTTGATGTGAAGGAAAAAATTCGCGGATACCTGAGAGGTAGTGAGGGAATGATTGGAGTTTGTGGAATTGGTGGAATTGGCAAAACTACTATTATAAAACACATCCATAATGAATTATTGAATGAGGCTACTCAGTTTGAAAAGGTCATCTGGATCACAGTATCACATCCTTTCAATGTTGTAAGATTACAAGGCGACATTGCAAGAAAAATGAACAGAGACCTTCGAGAAGATGCAGATGAATTGGAGCGGGCATCAAGATTGATGGAGATTATGAAAACAGTGAAATATGCATTGATCTTAGATGATGTGCGAGATAAATTTACTCTTACAAGAGTTGGAATCCCAAAACCAACAATGGAAAATGGGTGCAAAATTGTTATTACTAGCAGATCAGTTGATGTGTGCAACTACTTGAGCTGTCAAATAGTTAAGGTGCCACCTCTTTCAAAGGAACAGTCTTTCAACTTGTTTTTAGATGAGGTTGGGCCTGATGTTCTACAAATGCCGAATTCAGATGAGATTGTGAAGCTTATAGTGCATAAATGTGCTGGTTTGCCGTCTGTCATTGTTGGCATTGCTAGCAGAATGAGAGGAGTAAAAGATATTTGTGAGTGGAGAAATGCATTACTTGAGTTGCCTCAATAATAGCATGGGTGAAGAGGAAGGAAATTAAAACAACTATTGCAATAGTCACTCTTCCAACATTAAGGAAACTGTGTTTGAATTGTTTACCATAAGAATATTCTCTTACCTTTCCTCAATTGCTAGTATAATATATTTTTATTTATTTTTCTTTTATCTCTGTTTCCCGTCACTTGCGTTCCATTCTCTATGATACTTCATAAATCAAAGCTTCTCCTTTTTTACAATATTTTTGCTTCAGAAACAAATGTGATTCTTGGTTTGAAGGACTTGAATTTTTTTTTTTTAAGGGCCATCAAAGGACTTAAAATGTTTTTTTGTCAATGGAAAGGACTCAAAATGTTAATCACAGTTGATTTACTTGTATGATGTTCATTTCTTACAAAGAAGTTGTTGAATGAATAAAAATTTTAAATAAATGAAAATTAATTTTTAATGATTGGAAAAAAAATTCAAAGCCGTTACTCATTATAAAGTTTGATAAATCACTTAAAAGACTCTGCGCACTGGAAAAGAAACGAAGGATGGATCTTGATGATAATGAGGCGATCTGTGGCCATAGATGTCGGGGGTGGTGGCCGAAAACAAAGACGGTGAGCGAAGGGTGAGTTGCAGAAGAGAGACGGAGAATGACGAAAGGGAGGGACGACGAAATTAGGGCCATAAATTGAAACAGTCCATTTTTAAGAGATGGTTAAGAGGTTGTAGGTTCGACGAACGAAAACGTAGCTTTTATCTTTTGAATTTTAGGATGGGCTTACGGGCTATGTGGCCTGCTGAAGGTTTTTGTGTGGTGGGTTCGTAACGTTTGTTGGCTGGATAAGGGCCTGCTGCTAAGTTTTGAGCCTAACAGTGGATCCACATGACTATTGCAGTCTTAGTGGGCTAGACCCAATTTCCATTTTTTGGTTTTTTATTAAGACATCTAAAGCCTGTTTAGTGAAATTTTTTTAAGTTTTTACTCTCTTTTTTATTATTGATTATGAATTATAAGTT